GACCATACCTGCGGACGTCCACAATACCGGGGGTTTTCGCCATCAGTCGCCGCTGAGCCCAGACCAACGGCATCTGCAGTTGCTACCAGACACAGTTCCTCCGTCCTCGCTTGTATATCCTCATCCCTGTCGCGTGCCGCTGAACGCCTCTTCTCTCCCGTTATAAATTCTGCTCCTTTTCTGGACGTCGCCGCAAGCCACAAGTGTTCTTAGCGATGAAGAACTGGGAGGCTTTGCAGAAGCATCTTGTGCTGTGGCTGCTGATGCTGCAGACTCACCCGCTGACAGGTTAGAGCCATTTGTTTCTGCCCCGTTTCTTATCGCCGTCGTTTTTACTCGCCGCCGTAAGGAGCGAAGGAAATTTAATTTCCTCTTGTTGATAAGCGTACATTGATTGATCATCCTGATTTTAAAAAGAGGGAGCCAGAAGACCGAACGCCCAGGTCTTATCTCGCTCAACGTAAAGATCTAATTTATATCATGGCGCTGAAAATCGCTCTCGGAATGGGAGTTATTAAGATGAAAACACACGCGGCGTCGGTGAGCTTCGCCGCGTAAATGGAGGCAGTTTCTGCTCGCCTCCGCCGCCCCTTCATCGCCCGTCGCCATTTTTAGTGAAAAACGCCAGAGCTTTGCATGAAATTTCTTGGCTTCTTGCTTCGCGACCCGACGGCACGAGGCTCGTCACGTCAGTCATGTTGGCTCCCGGGCGACGTCGGGGGAAGCGAGGGCCAATAAAGGGGAAGAGAGACGATGGGGGAAGGAGAAAAAGCGAGAGAGGGAATAAGTAGGAAGGATGAAGGGGTGAGAGTGCGAGGGACGTGTTTAGAAGCGAAAGGGTGAAGGAGGGAAGACAGAAGGGAAAGGAAAACATGTGGGTAAGATAGAGGAAGCGAAAAAAGGGAGAAAGGAGGAAGAGAAGAGGGAGGAACGAAAGGGGAGAGAAGAAAGAAAAGAAAGAAAAGGGTTACATGACCAACAACAAAATTCATTACTAACAGATCACGCGATTCAATTTCATTTTGTTTCCGTTCTGTCTTATATCTTTTTCCATTCTTCTTTTTCCATTCTTTCTTTGTCTAATTATTAATTGCCACGTGTCATCTCTCCCTCTCTCCCTCCTCTCCCTCTCTCCCTCCCTCCTCCTCCTCTTCTCCCTTTCCCTCCCCTCTCTCACTCACTCTCTCTCTCCCTCTCTCTCTCTCTCTCTCTCTCTCTCTCTCTCTCTCTCTTCTTCTCTTCTCTTCCCTCCCTTCTCTTCTCTCTCTTCCTCCCTTCCCTTCCCTCGCCCTCCCCTCCCTTCCCCTCCCCCTCCCCCTCCCCTCTCCCTCCGCCTCTCCCTCTCCCTCTCCCTCTCCCCTCTCCCTCCCCCTCCCCCTCCCCTCCCTCCTCCTCCCCCTCCTCCTCTCCCTCCCCCTCCCCTCTCCATCTCCCTCTCCCTCTCCCTCTCTCTCTCTCTCTCTCTCTCTCTCGCTCGCTTATCATGCAACAGTTCTCGCCACTGCGCCCTCCAAAGAGCCAGACCGAAGGGGAAACACCAAGCTTATGTCAGATCTTCCTTCCTGCTTGTGGAGCCAGAATTATTTCAGCTTTGGTATGGGTTCGTGTGCGTGCGTGTGTGTGCGTGAGGGAGAGGGAGGGAGGAGGGAGGGAGGGAGGGAGGGAGGGAGGGAGGGAGGGAGGGAGGGAGGGAGGGAGGAGAGGGAGAGGGAGAGGGAGAGAGAGAGAAAGAGTATTATTGTTACTATGTATGTGTTTGTTTGTCTAATGCGTTAGTGTGTTTGTTTATCGTAGTTGTCTGTGTGTAATATCATGTAGGTGTATAAGGGCGAGTGTGTGTGTAATGCGAGTGTGTGTGTGTGTGTGTATGTGTGTGTGTGTTGTGGGTACGCGCGATGTGTGTGTGTGTATGTGTGTGTGTGGTGTGTGTGTGTGTGCGTGTGTGTGTGTGTTGTGTGTGTGTGTGTGTGCGTGATTACACTTATTCACCTTCACCTGAAGACCTAAGCTCCTCCTCCGGCTCGTCCTTGAGTGATCAGGAGACTAATTTCTCTCCCTCTTGTTCCTCGACCCTTGGGAATATAGACGCTGCTCCTCGCTGCTCCTCCTGGGCTCGCCTTTGGGTCTGCGTGTGCATGTGTGTGTGTGTGCATAGACACTCATTCACGCGCAAGCACACACACAGACACACGCACACTCACTCACTCACTCACTCTCTCTCTCACACTCTCACTTCTCCATTCTCACACTCACTTCTCATTCTCATTCTCATTCTCATTCTCATTCTCATTCTCACTCTCACTCACTCACTCACACGCACGCACGCACGCACGCACGCACGCACGCACGCACGCACACACGCACGCAACGCACACACACACACACACACACACACACACACACACACACACACACACACACACACACACACACACACACACACACACACACACACATTGTGGGCCCCTCTCTTCTTCAACATTTTACTAAATGCTCTTCAGTATCAAGACATTATGTTAGATTAATTAATGTTTAAATGTTCTTATTATAGTATAACTTTATATAATTTATCAATGGATTTCAAAGTGACCATATTAATACTATTGATTAGTGCTTTTCAAGAGTTAAATCTTCTGAAGGAGTTGATAAATTTATTAACTAATAATTATCAATGCAATATAATATAAATACAATATCAAAGATTGATAATATGAAGCAAATATTAAATCAGATATTATTTAGGTTTTTGACACACACAGATAGACAGGTATGGCTCACTGTTGTATAAATTTCAGTAATCTGAAATATGAATATCAGTCATAAACGATAAAAATAAAATAAACATCAGAACTACGTTATATCTTAAAGAGTTAGATATTGTAAATGAAAAATAGCAATCATTATAAAGGCGATTAGTTGTTTAATATCTTTAGAAGTTGATGAGTTAATTAGATGTTACGTAAAAGAATAATGATCATAAGAAGAGCTAATAATGGAAATAAAATAGACATGCTCAGTGAATTAATTGTTATTCTAAAACAATAAAGCATACTTGATTATGATAAGCACAAATATTGTGTTTTATATTATTACATTAATCAATCATTAACCAAATAAATGTAATAATCTTAACAAAATCAAATACTTGATAGAGAAAAAAAATCGGAAAACGTTTTATGAATTAAAAAAAAAAACGCTTAATTATTTTATTATACTTACAAACTAACCTATTTATTTCCAGTAAAAGTTGATAAAGATCCACATAGCACAATATTGCCACATTACTTAACTTCGATAATCAAGTGATTTTGTTATATGTTCATAAAAATTTTCATTATATGTTCATAAAAAATCTTCATTACCTTCCTAATCCTATGTTCCAGAAGAACTCTCCCATGTTATTGTCTTCCATTTTTAGAAGAACTCTCCATGTTATTGTCTTTCCATTTTAGAGAACTCTCCCACTACTACTCCGTTCTTACCCCTTTCTCCCTCTCCTTCTTATTCTCTCTCCTCCATTCTTATCCCTTTCTCTCTCCTCCATTCTTATCCCTTTCTCTCTTCTCCATTCTTATTTCTCTCTCCTCCATTCTTATCCCTTTCTCTCTCTCCATTCTTACCCCTTTCTCTCTTCTTCTTATCCCTCTCTCTTCTCCATTTTTTCCCCTTTCCTTTTTCTCCATTCTTATCCCTTTCTCTCTTCTCCATTCTTATCCCTTTCTCTCTCTCCATTCTTATCATTCTTATCCTTTCTCTTTCCTCCTTCTCATCCCTTTCTCTCTTCTCCAGTCTTACCCCTTTCTCTCTTCTCCATTCTTACCCCTTTCTCTCTTTCATTCTTACTCCCTTTCTCTCTTCTCTTCATCCTCTTCTCCATTCCCCTTTCTCTCTTCTCCATTCTTATCCTTCTTATTCTTCTTCCTCCTCCTCCATTCTTATCCTTTCTCCTCTCTTCTTCCATTCTTATATTCTTATCTTTCTCTTCCTCCATTCTTATCCCTTTCTCTCTTCTCCATTCTTATCCCTTTCTCATTTCTCTATTCTTATCCCTTTGTCTCTTTCTTGTTCTTTCCCTCTCTTCTCCATTCTTATCCTTTCTCTCTTCTCCATTCTTATCTCACTTTTCTCCATTCTTATCCCTCTTCCCATTCTTATCCCTTTCTCTCTTCTCCATTCTTATCCCTTTCTCTCTTCTCCTTATCCATTCTTACCCTTTCTTTCATCCCATTCCAGCCTCTACCCTAATATTAACCCCCCCCCCTCTCCGTCTCTACCCCTCCCCATATCTCAGCCAAACCCATTTCCCTTATATCACTCCTGCCCCCTCCACTCCCCTCCCCCCATACCCACCTCTCTCCCCTAACCCATACCCATTAACAGTCCTTTCCTCTCCCATTAGCCCACCTCTGCTTCCACCCCTACCCTCTCCCACCATCTCTTCCCCATATTCCCTTCCTACCCCTTCCCCATCTCCCTTCGTCGCTTCTCTCCCTTCCTTCATTCTCTACTCTGCCCGGTCTCTCCCCATCTCCCTACCTCCCCATCTTTCCTCCTTACCCTCCCTCATTTCTTCCCCATCTCCCTCCTTCCTTCCCCACCATTTCTTCCCCATCTTCCCTCCCTACTCCCTTCCCCATCTCCCGCCACAGCTTCCCCCAAAGAAGGGTGCCTTACCTCTCATCCTCACCGTCTTTAATACCCCTTTACACCCTTCCCCCTCTCCCCCAACCACCACCCTTACCCCTCACCCCCCTCCCTCACCCCCCAGCCCCTCCCCTCACCCTCCCCTCACCTTCCCCAACTAAGGGGTCTCGTTAGGGTAGATGGAGGGGGTTAGGGATGGGGAAGGTCCCCCAGGCCCTCCCCGCCCCTTCCCCAACTAAGAGGGTATCTCAGAGGGAGGGGGTAGATGGGAGGGGTCTCAGAGGGGGGGATAGATGGAGGGGATGGGAGGGGTAGAGAGGGGAAGAGGGAAGGGGAGGGGGTCGGGGGGAAGGCTAAAGACGAGGCTAGCCGTCAGTAACGAAGATAGATGGTTATTGGACTCACACTAGGAGGCTGGTAAAGACGATTTTTTTCTCTCTTCCATTTTTTTTTCTTTATCATTTTTTTTTATATATATTTTTTTCGCTGGGGGATGTAGGGAAGGGGGAGAAGGGGAGGGGAGGGGAGGGAAGGGATTTGACGATTGGAGAGGATTAGGATTGGAATGGGAATCGGGAATGGCTAGGAAGGTGAGAGCTCTTACGACGGCGAGAGGGCAACAGCGAGGTCGAGTGAGGTCAATTATCCGAGGCGGGGAGGGTCTTGTGGTGTCTCCTCTGGCGCGGGCGGGGAGGGGAAGGGGAAGGTAGGGGGAGAGGAAGGGGAAGGTAGGATAGGCTGGGGAAAGGGTAGGGAGGGGGAGGGGAAGGAGTAGGGGAGAGGAAGGTAGGATAGGCTGGGGGTGGGGAAAGGGTAGGCGAAGGAGAAGGTAGGGTAAAGGGGAAAGGGAAGGTAGGATAGCTGGGAGAGAGGGAAGGGGAGGGAGAGGGAAGGTAGGGCGGGATGGAGGAAGGGGTAGGCAGGGGATGGGGAGAGGGAAGGAAGGGAGAAGGAGAAGAAAAGGGGAGATGGATAGGGAATGATAGTGGAAAGTAGTTGGGGAAGAAAGGAAAGGTAGGGAAAGGAAAGGAGGAGTTGGGGAAGGGAGAAGATAGAAGACAGGGGAAAGGTAGGGGGAAGGGGGTACAGGGAGAGGGATTGGGTAAAGGGAAAATAGGGGAAGAGGGAAGACGGAGAAGGGGGAAGGGGATCGAAGGGATTGGAAGAAAGGATAAAATTTGCATAACCCTTTGCCTCGGTTGTCAATTGATCTACTTTCCGCCCATTATTTCTTTCTGCTTCCTTCTTTTTTGTTACTCTTCTTTTTATTTCTTTTTCTCTTTCTTCATTTTTTTTCTTTTCTTCCTTTTTCTTTTCTCCTCCTTCTTCTTTTTTCTTCTTCTTCTTCTTCTTTTTCTTTTTCCTTTCTTTTTTTCTCTTTCTCCTTCTCCTTCTTCTTTTTCTTCTTTTTTTCTTTTTCTTTGGCATCAATCCATCATCATCATCATATCTCTTCTCCTTTTTTCTCAAATTTCTCTCCTCTTCGGCAATTTTCGGACGCATATAGTCACCCACTATCTCCCCAAACATAGTCAGTTTCTTTTCTTTATATAATACAATTATTATTGCCATAATAAGATGTATTGTACAACGTTTGATAAGAATGGCGATAAATGCAATAGATCAAAAACCTCATTTCTCAGACAGCGCGAAGAATATCCATCGCTGACACCACGTGAAACCAATATATCCTAATGACTATCGATTTATAAAGCGATGTTCTGCACATGTACATGTACATAAGTGTATACACGCATTTGTGAACGCATATATATATATATATATATATATATATATATTATATATATATATATATATATATATATATATATATATATATATATTATATATATTATACATATTATATACTATATATAATATATATAATATATATATATATATATATATAATATATATATATATATATATATATATATATTATATATTTATATATTTATATATTTATATATATATGTATATGTATATGTATATGTATATACATATATAATTATATATATATATATATATATATATATATATATATTATATATATTATGTATATATATATATATTATATATATATATATATATATATATATATATATATAGTATATATATATATTATATATATGTATATTATGTGTGTGTGTGTGTGTGTGTGTGTGTGTGTGTGTGTGTGTGTGTGTGTGTGTGTGTGTGTGTGTGTGTGTGTGTGTGTGTGTGTGTGTGTAGCCGTTGTGTGTGTAGCCAGATCACTTCGTAAAACTGTTGATCATTAGCTCAGCCTCTGAATTATTGAGTTTTTTCCCTCGCGGCAACAACTGTAACCTGCAATCCTCTAATGGAACTGGACCAATTAAAGATTCTTTTGCTTACAGAGTCCAAAACTTTTTTTTCTAATAAAATGTTGGAGGATACGACTCAAAATGCGGCAATTGTATTTTATATTATCTAATGCTTTGCGGTTAGATATTGGCTGGCAGTTTTAAATCTACAGTAATTGCTAAGGTTCAGTTTCATTAGCGTTGAAGCATCATTTTTTTAATCACAGGATATAGATGTATACATTTTTTTTTCAGCTTCAGGATGTGATGTAGATAGTATTAACCCACTGACGATGACTGTTAATTACGGCCAGAATCCCCTGATACGAAAGAAAATAAAAACTCAATTATGTTAACCACTCCACAGCATGCGATCCTCCCACAGGAAAAATTGAGAGGGGGATTAACTTCCAAATATCAGAGTATCTTTTTTTTTTTTTTTTTTGAAGTTGCTGATTGAAAAACTTCTTCAACCTCTGGTGATAAGTCCCCTCAGACCCTACCCTGCCCCCCCCTTTCTCTAAAAGCTTCTCTTCTCTTCCTCTCACCCTCCTTATTCTCCTCCCTCCCTCCTTCCTTTTCTCCTTCCTCCTCCTCCTTCCCTCCCTTCTCCCTCCTCCCTTCCTCTCCCTCCCTCCTCCTCCTCTCCTTCCTCCCTCCTTCCCTCCTCCTTCCTCCCTCCTCCTCCTCCCTCCCCCCTCCCTCCTCCTTCTCTCCCTCCATCCCCCTCCCTCCCTTCCTCCCTTCCTAATTCACTCTCTCCCTCACGTGACCTCGGTGCTGCTCTTGTAGACAGTCCCAAAGAGATTGGCCTTGAGTAGCCGCTCGCTCGACGCAGCGCCGTTCCAGGAGGCTGCAGAAGGTGCCATCATAAACAGACATGTATGGGTGACTGTATCTATATCAATATCAATATACATTTATGTGAAGAGATAGATTAATATATATGTATATATTAATATATATATATATATATATATATATATATATATATATATATATATATATATATATATATATATGTATGTATGTATGTATGTATGTATATATATATATATATATATATATATATATATATATATATGTGTGTGTGTGTGTGTGTGTGTGTGTGTGTGTGTGTGTGTGTGTGTGTGTGTGTGTGTGTGTGTGTGTGTGCGTGCGTGTGTGTGTGTGTATGCGTATGTGTATGTGTGTGTGTGTGTGTGGTGTGTGTGTGCATATATATATATATATATATATATATATATATATATATATATATATATATATATATATATATATTATATATATATATATATATATATATATATATATATTATATATACATATACATATACATTTATACACACACACACACACACACACACACACACACACACACACACACACACACACACACACACACACACACACACACACACACACACACACACACACACACACACACACATATATAGATAGATAGATAGATAGATAGATAGATAGATAGATATAGATATATAGATAGACAGATAAACACACAGAGTGTAGGTGTAAACATATATATGTATATCGAAAGGATGCTCGAAGGAGGACACGAGAGACAGAAGACAAACAGACAGATAGAGAGAATTTGAGCGTTTGGTCATCATAGGAGACTAGTGAGAGAGCGAGGTCTAGAGCGAGAGAACTAGAAGGAGTGCTAGAGAGCAAGAGCGAAAGCGAGAGAGAGCAAGAGCTAGTGCCAGTGCGAGAGAGAAAGAGAGAGAGAGAGTGAGTGAGAGCCAAAGCGAGAGAGTGAGAGCTAGAGGAGAGAGAAAAAGAGAAAGAGAGAGAGCCAAAGCGAGAGAGAGTGAGAGCTAGAGGAGAGAGAGAGAGAGACCCAAAACGAGAGAGAACGAGAGCTAGAGATCGAGAGTGAGAGAGAGAGAGAGCCAAAGCCAAGAGAAAAAAAAAAACAGAGCAAACCCCCCCAGAGCGAGAGAGCCAGAACGCGAAAGAGAGGAGGGAAGGAAGGAACAAAGAAAACAAAGAGCACTGCTAACTTCCTCCCACCGCCACGATAACTTGACCTTCCTTCTGCAGGAAAGTTTGGGCGCTGATCAGTCGTCACTCCAGGAGAAGAAATATCCTGCGGGCGACATGTTTTACTCCTGGTGTTTCGAGTCCGGGTGAAATATAGATCGTGGTTGTTGTGGTAGATCGAGAAATGTTGATGTTGTTGATGATGTTGTAAGTGGGAGACACGAGGGAAAAGATTTTGCGGTGTCTCCTTTATGCTATATAATATTCGTTGCTACAATGTGCGTTTTTTTTTTCTTTTTCAGTAAATGAATGTCGTTATTTTATTTACTGTATCTCTTTTCATCGTATTCTTAATCTTATTACTATTCTTATTCCTTTTTTCATGTTCTTTTTATTTTTATTTTTACTCATATTTCTTATTCTTATTTATTTATTAGTTATTTACTATCATTACTTATTTCTTAGCTATTTCTATTTATTCTAAATCAATATTTATTTGTTCTTATCCTTATTCAGTCAAATTATTAATCGTATTCTTATTTACATCCTTATCCTCATCCCTCATCCTTATTCTTATCTGACAGTCCTCAAATTAATTAATCTTATCTTATTTACATCCTCATCCTCATCTGACAGTCCTCAAATTGATTAATCTTATTCTTATTTACATCCTTATCCTCATCCTTATCCTAACAGTCCTCAAATTAATTAATCGTATTCTTATTTTACATCCTCATCCTCACCCTCATCCTTATTCTTATCTAACAGTCCTCAAACTGATTAATCTTATTCATATTTACATCCTCATCCTCATCCTCATCCTCACCCTCATCCTTTGCCTCATCCTTATCTAAGTCCTCAAACTGATTAATCTGACATCCAAACTCTTATTCTTATTTACATCTCACCCTCATCTTATCTAACAGTCCTCAAACTGATTAATCTTATTTACATCCTCATCCTCCCTCCTCATCTAACAGTCCTCAAACTGATTAATCTAATCCTTATTTACATCCTCCTTCCTCCTC